ACTCATCTACTTTGTATCTCTATACATTTGCCTATCCTGGGGATTTAAAATAAGTGAGATCATACAATATATGGGGGTTTTATGACTAATTTCAGTTAGCATAATGTGCTAAGCGTAGAATGTATTACTAATTCATTCCTTTTTTTACTGCCAAATAATATTCCATGACATGGATATACCACAGATTATCCATCAGTTCATGGACATTTAGATTATTTCCACTTTGGAGCCATTATGAATAATATTGGTAAGAACATTCATTTCTAAGTCTGTGTGTGGATGTATGTTTTCATTTTTCTTGGGTAGTTACTTAGGAATGAAATTGCTGTTTCACAAAATGGTAATTATGTTTGTCATTTTGAGAAGTTTCTAAATTCTGGTCTAAAGTGGCTACCACAAACTACATTCCCACCAGCAATGAAGGAGTATTCTAATTTCTCCTCATTCTCACCCTTATTTGCTACCTATCTTTTTTATTATAGCCACCCTATGATATAGTATGTCATTATGATTTTGATATACATTTCTCTAATGACTAAAGACGTCAAGTGTCTTTTCATGCATTTATTAGGCATTCATATGTCTTCTGTGAATAAACGTCTATTAAAATTCTTTAGCCATTTTTAATTAGGTTATTTGGGTCTTTTAATTCCTGAATTGTAAGAGATGTCCATATAAACTGGATATAAGACCCTAATATAATTTGCAAAAATTTTCTTCCATTGTGGGTTGTCTTTTCATTTTCTTGGTGGTCTCCTTTGAAGCACCAAAGTTTTTAATTTTTATATCGTCAGTCATCACTTATCACATTTGGCTTCATATCTAAGAAATCATCTGTGATCTAATTAAAGATCATGGAGATTTATTCTTGTATTTATTCTTAGAGTTTTATAGTTTTAGCTCTTACATTTCAGTCTCTGATTTGTTAATTTTTGTATGTGGTGTGAGGGAGGGGTAAAAATCATTATTTTGCATGTGGATATCCCATTGTGTCTGTATCATTTGTTGAAAATACTATTCTTTTCTCACTGAATTACTTTGGACCTTTTGTTGAAAATCAACTGACCATAAATGTTAGGGTTTGTTTCTGGACTTTATCCTTATGCCATCTTGTTATTTCTTGGTATTATAAAGACCCATCTGTCTTTAGGGCATTTAAAATAACTGACTTGGAGGCTGGTAGTTTTGCCATTTTTCTTTTTGTTTGTTGCTTCATCTTTTACATTATTCATATTTCTGCTAAAATGTCACTTGAGCAGTTGAAATGTAATTTCTTGGCTGTTCTACCTAAAGTAGCCCCACATTCCTGTTCCATCACTCTCTACAACCTTTCCTGCTTTATTTTTCTCATAGCTCATCTCACTATCTGAAATTATTTATTGCTTACATGTTTACTATCTGTCTTCCCCACTGGAATGCAAGTTCCATGAGGGCAGGGATATTTTTTTATGTCTGACAAGATGTCTGGCACTTAATAGGAAACCAATAAATATTTGGGGAATAAAGTCATGAATCATGATTTCTGCAGTTTTCATTTTCAAAGCTATAATGGTTTTACCAAGCATGTAAGTTAATAATTGAAGCATTCTTTTGAATAACTGGCATACTTTCTAATAGCTGATCACATGTTTTAAGAAGGAGCCATTGTATACTTTGACAATGCATATTTGAAAGTATTTTTTGTCACACCTGCCAACAATCATATTTCTAGGGTATATGGTGCTTTGTTTTAGGCCTACCTAACATGATTCATCCAAAGCAGACTGAGAATAGAGAAGTGGGTGATTATTCAAAGAAAAGTTAAGCTTATAGCTACCAGAATTAGGATGAATGGATCTTGGGCAGCAAAAGCAATAGGTGTCCATTGACAGTTTTGATACATACTGCTAGGAAAGAGAATGGTAATTAGAACATATCATAGTAAACTGGTTCATTACAACATCATCAAATATCTTTCTGTAATGCAACTCCCTAACCTCCCAAGACACACACACATACATGTTGTTTTTATGTGCATGTGTTTACATAAGTACTACCATTTCCTTTGTTCTTGCCACTAAGTTTTAGAGCATTGCAAGACCAAATGAGATTACTACATTCTAGAGATTATAGACCGTGACTTCACAGGGCCTCACTGCCACATAACAATCCATTTTATCATAGACCTGTTTAAATAATACCTGGTATTTTAATTAGAGCAAGATTGACACAGACCAGACACATCAAGTGATAGAAGTAGCCTCTAAAAGAAGCAAATACACCCTTGACTTCCAGGCTGTTGTTTATATATTCAGCCAGAAATTTCATTCATTGATATCAGTATCTTAATAGAAAATTGAAATGCTAACTTCATTAAATAAGCTATTTATTAGCCTCTTAGTTCTGACCTTTTGCTAAGAAAACTGCATTTTTGCTTTGATAATTCTCTTTAGTTTCAGACTGCTTCTTGGCTGTGAGGTAACCTCTCCTCTTAAATTTTATGACCTTGTTACCAGTTAGGTGGAACTCCTTATATGTGAGATGATACTCTCTCTGACATGCTTTATGGGACACAACAGTCACAACACAACCTATTAGCCCATACCATAGCATGCCCAAGGGCAGTCTAGCTTCAGATCAGAATTTATGGCTATTTGTCACATTTATAAAACCACAGTGTCATCTTTATTATTTCTATTATTAAAAAATATATTGAGGCAGTTCTTCATATACTTGGCACATGTGAAATTTGTTTCCCTTAGATTTTTAGTGCCTTCTAGATTGACAATAATATAAAATAGATATTGTCAGTACAATGAAAAAGAACGATGGGAAAATATTCTCAGCAATTTACTTTGTAAATAAAATGTGTTGCATATGTTTCCTTTCAGGTTTTATAGTGGCCTGGGGAAAGCCAGAAGTGTATATACCTTCCATATATTTCATTGTGCAATATAAAATTTTCACATTAGAAAGACATAACCCAAATTTCAAATAATTTAATTGGCAATGCGCAGATATATGGGAAAACACAAAGGTACAATGTTTAAATGATATAAGTTTCTTTCTTCCTATTTTCTAATTAACCACTAATAACGAAAAAGAACTACAAAATAAACTGGTATATTGAATAAAGCAAAAATATTCCTTCAAGCTATTATATGTTCATATCCACAGATGGTGAACTGTGGATAACAAATACAAAACTATTATAACTGTAGTTGCTAATACCTTATGATAGCTAGTTTTAACAAATCTAGCTCAGTTATAGAAAAAGTTGTAATTAAACATATCTTTAAAATAAAAATATGGGAAAGCACTTATCGTAATTGCAGTTACCCATAATTTAGAAACTATTCATTAAAGACTCTACCGTAAAAATTACGTTAGTGGATAGTTTTTTGCCCTTGTGTTGCAAGTGAACTCTGTAATAGTTTAACATTATATTTATTATTATGAAATATAACAGTAAATTAAGGACAGTCTCATTAAACAGCCAAACCTAATTAATCCAGTTCCCAGTGGCTCATAATATATGCTAATTAAGCCAGGCACAGTACTCAAGTTTGCCTTGAACTATCTAAGAGATAGAGATTAAAGATACCTTGAAAATAAAAATATAGAGAGCATTTGGGCATTTGCATTTGTCCATAAGGAAATTAACGGGCTATCTATGCAGGATTGCTACGGAAAATATTAAGCTACTTAAGAAAGCAAACATTTCCAATCATCTTTAGGAACTTTCCCAGTATATATTTTTATAAATACAAACATATGCTATTGTATTTCTTTAGTTTTTTTCTTAATTCCTTATTAATCTTTTGCCTGCCAATCTCTAGTAACACTTAGTTCACCTAGTTCCAGCACTTGTTCTGTGCTTAAAAGTTATAATAAAAGTGTGGGATTTTTTCCTTTCTATTTTCGTGTAACGAAAGTGTCTGCTGCCTCTGGGGTCCCGAGTCTTTCAATCACCTAGAGTCACATCATACCATCTTTCATCAAAAATTAGCGTTTTCACCATGGTCCTCATACATATCCCAGCTCAGGATCATCAAGAATTCCTAAGTTTGTTATCATTCCTCTAGGTCATTCATGGCAACAATTTCTCTTCCGCTGGATTCTTGATTTACATTTTGCATTCACTCTTACAATACCATCTTTGCTACAACCTTAGCATGATGTGGACCTACTCCCGGTGCCATCATTTCCCCTTTGGTCTCTCTTGTGTTTAACACACTTTCATTTAGGGTTTGGGGAGATAGTGAAGCACAGAATACTAGAATATTAGCCCTCACTTTCCTAAATACTCATCAATATTGCCTGTCACAGTTTCTCCATATTCCTGACCTCTTTCTTTTTAAGTGTTCTCTGTCTTCCAAGGGCTCTAACTGCCCCTGCAGGAGCTGGTGTCAAACCTCCAAAACATTTATTACTGAGTATTTCATTCTCTGTTCCACACTCACTCAGGCTATGGTCAAAAGTCCTCCCCTTTCTCAAAAGAAAGGCCATGCTATTTCGAAACAATAGAACCATCTACCAAGGAGATGAACTGAACTACTCTCCTAGAAGGCAGGGGCAACTTAATTAAATAACCATATTTTCCCCAAATGTATACTTGCAAATTCTCTTTCACTTATTCATACAGCCTCTTCTAAATTGGTCATAATATATGTTCATTTAAAGTAGGTAATTTAAATAATGCACAATCTTGTTATTGTTATAAATCTAAATTTTCAAAACCTGTTTGTCAAAATGTAATCCTACACATAGTATTCTTACTAATGAATAAATTCTTACTAATATCTGTTTGCCCAGGTAATTTCAACCTAGGTTCAATCATAACTTATGCCTATAGGAGCACTAAATTGTTCGTCTTTTGTGTATAAGTTGTTAATAGAGACTAACCCTGACAACTTAAGTGAAATGTGAATCTCTTCTACTGGGATGCAGTTATTTGAAGATATTTAGCCTTGATATATATTTGATCACTTTTTTTATATCCTTTTTTTTTTTTTACATAGTTTTGTGTGAGAATAGAAAAGAATCCTGGCCTTGGATTTAGTATCAGTGGTGGAATTAGCGGACAAGGAAATCCATTTAAACCTTCTGACAAGGTAAGAAGTGAATTTCTTATTGACAGTTTTATAGGAAAACACTGTCTTTGACTATAGAAAACAAAGTCAGAAAAAACCTACTGGGCTTTAATAAACTAGCTAATTATGAAGCCAGTTACATACTTTTTCAGCACAGGGGAAACAATTCACTGCAGTGCTTGACAAATCCCAAGAATAGGGAAAAAAATTAATGATTCTCTTTGAAAGAAAAGTTGTTTCTTTTTTGTGTTTCATTTTGCTTACACTTGTATATATATTCAAAGAAAACTATACAGGCAATTATTAACAAGTTGTTTCCAAAAGTTTACTTGTAGATCATTTATTTGGGAAAATGTTTTGTCATAGTAACAGAATAATTAAATAATGCTTCATTGCCAGGGCCAGCTGACTGAAACCTCTTTAAGTTATCATGATCATGAAGTATTTCATTAATAGATGTATAGATTGAAAGACCACAGAAAACAAATATTCTATGGGAAAATTAAAATTAGCCATGGCAGAAAAATCAGGGCCTCCTCTCATGCCTACCCCTGTTTGTCAGACCATGAGTAAAACTTCACCACTATGTCCACGCTCCATGAACATTCTGTCCAAATTTGTATCTAGCCTGTATGATCACATTGTGGACCTGAACCACCTGACTTTTTTTTATTTTAGAAAAGTTACCCTGAGCTATCCTGCTGGCATCAGAGTGTAATGCTCTCAACTTTGAATCAGTCAGTAACTATAATTTGATGATAATTGGAACTATTTGCTTTTGACCTCATCAAATTTAATTGCATTAAGTGCCATAAAACTTTGGGATGATGAAAACAGACAGAAATTAGATATGAGTAAAACCTCCACAAGGTCTTGATTTACCTCTGAGACACAACCTGGGACAGGTTATCCACTTATCACTATTATAAAAAAAATAATAACCCATACATCAATTTCTGATCATAAAACCTGCTTTTGAAAAACCATGAGTGCCCCTACTCTGGAGATTTCTATAGCCTGAAACAGGCTTTTACCCCTTATTTTCCTCTATTTCTTCCATCTTCTTGTTTTCTAACATTGTTTGTGACCTTCTTTGTTTCCTTTCTGGAGAAGAAGACGAGAGGAAGAAGTAGGCTAGAAAGTAGAATTATTCACACTCTACACATTAAAATGGAAGGGACTATAAAGACATCCCTATAGATAGGAATTCCTTTGGTCAACTCGTTGGAGTAGCTATTCATATATAAGGAATATGTGTGAGGCAGCCCATTATAATTAGGAGGATGTCAGTTAGAAATATCTATGTACCAGTAACTATTGCCTTTCTATTTTGAAAGGATGTTGAGGATAACCATTGATATAGTAGAACTAAAATATGGTTTAGCAAAAACAAGTGTTTATTTAATTTTGATAAATTATCAATATATCTAAAGACAAAAAATTATGAAAGTTCACAATTATCAGAAACATATGGTAGTATTTAGAAAGACTCAAATCATTATGTTTTATTCATCTTGACCCTTCTCTTTGTCACTGGTTTCACATCTTCTCCCTAAATTCTTCCAATGAGAAGTCAATAACCTTATCATCCATAAGATAGTTAAAATCCAAAAGATATGTTTTTCTCTCCTTTCTCACCAGTATGTACATCTTTTTATTATATTTTTGGAAGGTACAGGGTAATAAATATTTTAAATTAAGAATGAACAGATTGCTAAATAGTCAAGAGGTCTGAATGCTGCCGTTGCTTTTCTGCTATTATTTTCAACTGAAGGAGGGAGTAAATGTGAGACTTTAAAATTATTCCTCTAATTCTTCCACTATGACAAATGTGAACACTTTATAAATATTAATTTAATTTCACATTTATAACATATTGATGCCTCTAGTGAAATTGAACTATTTCTATGACATTATAATTTGCTCTTTTGGTTAAAAGCAACAGATATAAAGTTTGAATTGATTCTGTGTCCACTGAAAAATTTCCCCCCAAAAGCACTTTTTTTCACCTGATTATTCTCTAAAACACTCTACAATCTGAAAAGTGAATCTCTATTATTGCAAAATTGATGGGAGTAATTAAAACTTCCAAATCTGCAGAAGACTCTCAAGATTGCTCTTAATTTATTGACCACTTTTGATGTCATGCCAAACATATGGTGGATATTTAGTTAGAAGTGTCCAGAGGACCTAAGATACTGGCTCTGACAATTATTACAAGAATTTAATTCATTCACAAGGAAAGGGATTAATCTCTTGGAAATTCAGTTGCATCTCTTTAGCCCCGTGTCCCATTCTTATAGTGGTTGCATAAAATTTAGAGTAGAACCCAGTGCCTAAACTAACCCCAAAATGGCAAACGGTAAGAAAATGAAAATGAACTTAAAAAATACTCCTCTCTTCACTGCTGAAAAACAGACTGCTTTTTCATGAGTAGGCTAATTTACAGCTGAGGGTGACAAGAACCAAATTAAACAGATGTTTAAATTCAATAGATGCTACCTGAATCAGTGTGAATGCTTTATAAGGAGTTCTAGTCAAAGTTAGGCAAAAGCTTAAGCTTTAATACAATACATATTTGCTTTCAATAAACAACTCATGGATTAGAAATATTCTCCAAAGAACAGTGTATTATTTTTACTTACTGTTCATGAATGTATGACTGTTTTGTAATGCCGCTCAAAATTCTAAATATCCAAGGTGCCTGGATGTCTTCAAGGCATTGAGAACTTTCTGTACAAAGCAGCCAATAGATTTGTTCCATTCTCTTCATTATGATTGATGGGAACCACTGTTTCAGCCCAATGTCAAGGTCCATTGTGAGATAGGATCCAAACTGATTGCCTGTATATAGCCAGGTAGGGAAAGCATGAAGTATGAAGTAGTCATCCCAAAACACTGGGAGTGTGAGAATAGGGCAAGAGTGAGCTGTTGTTTAGTCTGGCAGAAGTTTCCAATTTAAATTCTGGGGTAGCATGAGTTTATGCAGAAAATACTTAAGACATTCCAAAAGTTAGCTGAGGCTTTAGGGGGAGTTCAGGATTAAGCCAGATATGGGACTGTTTTGTACTGGACTTTGAGAGCTTCAGACAGCACCTGGCCTTACAAACTTAACTCCTCTCAAAGACCACAAAGTAGTCCTAATCAAATAGAGTCTCCTGGGGCTAAATGGATGGAGCACAGTTAGTCCTGAAGCTCATGTCATTGTCAGTCAAGGTTTAAGAGCTGAACAGACGAATTCACTTATCATGGAGTTCATTATTTTGGGTTCACTGCCAGGTGAAAACTGCTTTTACATACTTGGAAAGAGAAAAATGGAAAAAAACGGCCCTATATAATGCTTGCCTCCTCTGTCCTCCCAGTAAAGTTGATGGAAGCCATGATCTGGTCTGTTATCATAGAGAAACATTGCTGTCAGGATAGCCATATGCTGCAGAGAGATGAAAGATTTTGACCTAACAAATCTGATGATAATAATAAAAGGAATAAGAATAATAGCTTTTAATTGAGTATCTACAGTGTGTTGGTCACTCTATTATGCTCTTTATATACATGCACTTATCTGATCTTCAGAACAACTTGTGTTAGTTGAGTATTATTATCCACCATTTTGCTGAGGCCCAGAGGGGTTAATTAACTTGTCCAAGGTCATTTAGGTGATATGTGGCAGACAAGATTTGAACACAAATTGATCTGACTCCAAATCCTTTTCTCTTAATAAGCATTATGGTGCATGCCGCTATCTGCAAATGCCACTTAGCAGAAGAGCCACATGACAAATTTATACCCTGTAGAGTTGAGACTAATATGATATTCTAATATTGAAAGTATTACAAAGTCCTTTAATTAGTGATAGTCTAGATATTTGCTTCAACACGTTCTTGGAAGTCAGCATGTATTCTCTATTGAACCTAGATAATTAGAAGCAGACTGTACACAGTGAATCGCTGAGCAATTATATAACTTTTGGGTTAAGGTATCATTAGAGCGATGATTCTGCCAGCGGAACAAACAAACCACAGTAATCTTTGCCTATTTTTAAATGTACATGGGATAATCATTCATGATTGCAAAATTCAAATAATTGACCAATACAATTTCCACTGGATGTTGTTAGAAAGAAGGGACTGGATTAATGGATAACGGGTACTGTGTTGTTGTAGTGACTTCATAGTTCAGCCCAAGACTTTGTAGATGAGTGAATTTTTAATGATGCATTCACATAGTTTATCATTCAGAGACTGCTATTTCTCCTTCATTGCCTTATTTAAGGAGGAAGAACTAAGCTCCTAATGTTTAAAGATATCAAAGAAAACTCAGTCTCTTTTTCTATATATTCTAAAAGTATAGTACTGAATACTCACATGAAAAATGATCTGGTCATAATATCAAAATAAAAGCTATCTTACAGATATCCTCAAAATACTTGATATCAGGAAATACACATACTAGGGCATTGGGATCAAAGAATCACTTATTTTTCACCATTTTATCATAATACCCATGTTCAATAGATGCCATAGAAACCACCCATATTTCCACAGATTTGGGCAATCTGCATGTAGACACAGAAATGAAAATTGTTAAATTTTTAAATGCCTTAATTTGCCTACAGTGCAGACAAAGTCCAAAGTCCATGAAAAATATTGTAATCATGGAAAATGTGAAATATAATTTCTAATAAACCTTAAATAAATGTTCTGGAATTTCAGAATAAGTTATTATATTCTACCCTACGTCACTTGTAAAAGATTGACTCCAGATGCCTAAGAAGCCTGCAACAGGATTCAAACACGTTTACACCCTTCCTTCCACACCTAGAAAAATAATGGGACTTTATTCTTTGTGTGGAGATGAGTATTGCATCAAATAAAAGTTTTTGTATGATAAAAATTAAGAGAAGATGTGTTTTATGAGCAGAATCAAAGCATTTACTTGATACCTTTACCCAAGGATAATAATACAGAGAGGCTCACTTGGCAGTGGCAAGTTAGAAAATGCACAAGAATAATTTTCCAGGT